AGGAATCCTGGAAAACTGAGGCCACGCTCTACCAAGGGGGACAACTTGAAGCTCTGTCTCAAAAAAAAAAAAAAAAAAAAAAAAACAATGACATTGATTTTTCTGAAATGTTCTACATTTTCTCTTTTTGAAATGAATAAGAGGACAAATCAGACAGGTTTTGAGAACCTGTACCTTTTGTAGGAGGTGTGGGGGAGCAGGGTTGGCAAAAATAAGAATTGAGGCATTGTTTCTGCTGTGCCATCAGAAGGTGGGATAAAGCCCCGAATTTCACAGGTGGGTTCTGATTCACCCTTTGCATTTCTTTTCATTGTTCATATCCGACATTGAGGAGAGAGATGAGTAGCAGGGCTTCTGGGGGATGGGCCTAGACAAGGTGAGGCAGTGGAAAAATGGAGCACCGACGCATTGATGAAAGACAGGGAAGAGGGAAGGCCAGAGAAAATAGTCCAGATAGAATACAGAAGAAGGACTGTAATCCCAGAATTTGGAGAGGTGAAGGCGGGAGGATTACTTGATCTCAGGAGTTCCAGGCTGCAGAGAGCTATAATTGTGTCACTGCACTCCAGCTTGGGCAACAGAGCCAGCAACTGGCACTTAAAAATAAAACTAAATTAAAAAATTCAGGAGGCTTCTGTGGCTCTGTGAGAAGGGCGCCAGCCCCATATAGCGAGGGTGGCGGGTTCAAACCTGACCCTGGCCAAACTGCAACAAAAGCAACAACAAAAATAGCTGGGCATTGTGGCGGACACCTGTAGTCCTAGCTATCGAGAGGCTGAGGCAAGAGAATTGCTTAAGCCCAAGAGTTTGAGGTTGCTGTGAGCTGTGACACCATAGCGCTCTACCAAGGGTAACATAGTAAGACTCTGCCTCAAAAAGAAAAAAAAACTAGGTGTTGTTTTACATAAATGCTACCTCATTTAAACCCTGCCAAAGTCCCATAAAGGGGCTGTTAGTCCCTTCATATAGGTTCAGAAAGATCAAATAACAAGCTCAGGTCATTCCACTAAATGCTCAGAGAAAAGACCAGAATCTTCTTAATTCAAAGTCCCCACCAAAACTCCTTCCCTAAAGAGCCCAACCTAGGGGCAAGTAGAGGCTGTTCTATAGGCTGCATATCTGAGGAGAGTGCTGTTATAAACAATTTTCACTACTGCCACACCTACTCTGACCTCTATGCTTACTCATTGGGGTGCACCAGCAGCATGCCATCTTCCAAAGATCTGCCAAGCAACCAAGCATAAAATTGGCCTACATAGAATCCTTTTAGGAAGGTGATTAACACCTGTCTATTCTCCTCTAGTTTTATTCAAATCGCATAGTAACTAATAGTCAGGTTCATCAAAGCAATTATAGTCAATATCTTGAGGCTTGATTGCTTAATGAAGTTCAAAGTAAATTACCTTTAAAATACAGTTGTTACGATATCTTTTTTGTAAGAGACATTTTCCTAGCAACACTTAGAACACAAATAACTTCTGCCTGGGGAACTTTAGTATTCTCAAAAACAATGACATTGGCTCGGTGCCTATAGCTCAACCGGCTAAGGCGCCAGCCACGTACACCTAAGGTGGCAGGTTCGAATCCCCAGCCCGGACCCGCCAAACAA